CATTAGTAAACAAAGAATTAACATCAAATGAATACATTTTCCTATCTTTTATGTTCATATCTACAAGACAGTCAACAAGTTCAAATGTATCTTTCAAAGTAAACTTACATAATTCATTCCGTACTGGGCTTAAAATATCAGCTAACCATTTTGCTAGTTTATGTGTAGGAGAGTTACACATTGAAAGAATTGGACGTAATGGATTGTCAACCTTATGAATTTTAGGTAGTCCATAGAGGTTTGGAAAATCAGATCCCATGGGTTTCAAGGAGTTAAACTCCTGTTTATCGATAACGTTCATGCCGCGAAGTTTTACTAAATGAGAATTTACTTTTCCTTCCAATTTTCTGATATCATCCGAAGGAACATCGGCTATGAATTTATTTTCGTCATTAAGAATGGATAACATTTTTGTTTTATAATCATTTCTGTCCATTACAACTACACCAGATCCTTTGTCAGGTTTCAGAATAACTATATCGGATCTATTACGTAATTCCTTTAGGGCTTTAAAATGGGTTGATGTTAAAATGCTTCTCTGTTTTCGACTTGAATTACGGAATTGGTGTGCAACATCAACAAATTTAACTTTCAGCCAACTTTGGTCATCTGTCGAGGAAGGAGTTAGAGAACTCAACTGATCATACAAATTTTCAAACTGAGAATCAATTGCTAAGTCCGAAATATTGTTTAATGGGATAGAAAAATTGAAACCAAGTGATAACACCTCCTTTTCATGTAATAAAAGTTCAACCGATGACAGATTTGTCACATACTTATCAGGATTTAATGGGAATTGGTTTAATTCAAAGTCAGAGGTACCGGATCCAAGCAGTTTCAATCTAGTATTCTCTTTCGTCTTATTAACGGCAGAGCTACAAAAATTAGTGAACTTGATTTGGCAGATTATGGAGATATCAGACAATATATTTGATGATGATAAATGGAGTTCAATCAATCCACATAACTTCTCATTAGAACTGTCAATGTGAGATTTCGTAAGGCGAATAAGATTTGAAATATTTGGTTGAAGTTTAGAAGATCGAAGAGATTTGTAAAATGCTTTCGGGAATGTGTGACTTGAGAGACTCCATTTTATCATCATCAAATATTTTGTCTGACATCTCCATAATCTGCCAAATCAAGTTTATTAATTTTTGTAGCTCTGCCGTTAATAAGACGAAAGAGAATACTAGATTGAAACTGCTTGGATCCGGTACCTCTGACTTTGAATTAAACCAATTCCCATTAAATCCTGATAAGTATGTGACAAATCTGTCATCGGTTGAACTTTTATTACATGAAAAGGAGGTGTTATCACTTGGTTTCAATTTTTCTATCCCATTAAACAATATTTCGGACTTAGCAATTGATTCTCAGTTTGAAAATTTGTATGATCAGTTGAGTTCTCTAACCCCTTCCTCGACAGATGACCAAAGTTGGCTGAAAGTTAAATTTGTTGATGTTGCACACCAATTCCGTAATTCAAGTCGAAAACAAAGAAGCATTTTAACATCAACCCATTTTAAAGCCCTAAAGGAATTACGTAATAGATCCGATATAGTTATTCTGAAACCTGACAAAGGATCTGGTGTAGTTGTAATGGACAGAAATGATTATAAAACAAAAATGTTAGCCATCCTTAATGACGAAAATAAATTCATAGCCGATGTTCCTTCGGATGATATCAGAAAATTGGAAGGAAAAGTAAATTCTCATTTAGTAAAACTTCGTGGCATGAACGTTATCGATAAACAGGAGTTTAACTCCTTGAAACCCATGGGATCTGATTTTCCAAACCTCTATGGACTACCTAAAATTCATAAGGTTGACAATCCATTACGTCCAATTCTTTCAATGTGTAACTCTCCTACACATAAACTAGCAAAATGGTTAGCTGATATTTTAAGTCCAGTACGCAATGAATTATGTAAGTTTACTTTGAAAGATACATTTGAACTTGTTGACTGTCTTGTAGATATGAACATAAAAGATAGGAAAATGTATTCATTTGATGTTAATTCTTTGTTTACTAATGTACCATTGATTAAGACTGTTGATATTCTTTGTGACTATATTTCTTCTAGTTGTTTTTCATTCCCTTTCCCTTTAACTTATTTGAAAGATTTATTATTATTATGTACTGACAACGTCCATTTCACGTTTGAAGGCGAACATTTTCGACAAGTGGATGGCGTTGCTATGGGGAGTCCATTAGGACCTTTGTTAGCGGACGTGTACATGTCTTATGTTGAAAACTTATCCCTTGATTTAATTTCAAAATTGCCCTTCTATAGGAGATATGTAGATGATATCATTTTGATATGTGACGATCATGAAGATGCGAGTCGCCTATTAGACAGACTTAACTCTGTACAAAATCATATTAGTCTTACATGTGAGGAAGAAAGTCGCAACCAGCTAGCATTTTTAGACATACTTCTGAGTCGAAGAGATGATGGCTCAATAAGACGGTCTATCTACAGAAAGCCCACTTGGACAGGGCAATACCTTAATTTTCACAGCTTCTGTCCATTACAGTATAAGAGGGGCTTGGTGAAGTGTCTATTCAAGAGGATTCAGCGTATTTGCACGGCTGATTTTATGGACAGAGAAAACGAAATATTATTGGATACTCTTGTTGAAAACGGATATCCTTTGAAATTTTTAAACAGGTGTAGAAGTCAACTAGCCTCTAAACCTACAATCCATACCGTCCCTAAGAAAAAGGTTTTTATCAAATTACCATATAACGGGGAAATAAACAGTAGGATTGTGAGACAAAGGTTGAATTCAATCATCCGTAGAACCTACTATGCAGCCCAGCTTGTAATTGTGGAAAAAGCTAAAAATATGCTTCACTGTAAACCCCAAAAGTGCACAAGTGATTATATCACATCCCATACAATTTACCAATTTTCGTGTGTGTGTGGACATACATACATAGGGAGGAGTAATCGCGCTTTGCACGTGAGGGTGGGAGAGCATATCCCAAAATGGTTAGAAAAACAGATGAATTGTGACAAGCTAATAGATGCAGGTGGCAGACTACCAAATTCGTCTATAGCTAAACATCTAATCGAGATGAACCATAAGATTGATGTTAACTCAGCCTTTAAGGTCATCTATAAAAACGGTCAAGGGCGTTTACTGAAATACGCTGAGGCTATAGCTATTCATAGACTTAAGCCCCCCTTGTGTATTCAAAAACAGTTTGTCATTACTCTTAACCTACCTTGGTAATCCTTATTTGATTGGATTACCAAACGTTTGTGTTAATTATTCTTAATTCCGTTTTCTCTCACTTTGTTTAATTTAACCTTTCTATATATATTGACTTGACAAGTAAATGTGTGATCAGATTGTTCGGAATGTATAGCGCTAATACATCACATTTTTCAGATAGTCTCCGTCTTCTAATAACGCTATCAAAATTTATAAAAGGGACTGATTGTTTTAAAGTTTTTGCATTTCTCAATGAATGTAAAACAAAACGATATTGTTTTTACTGACGTTTCGCTATTTAATGCTAATAGCTTTCTCAAGGTATTATTAAACCGGAATTTACAAAATCCCAGCATATATATAACAAAGAGTTAGAGGGTGAGAAAAGTATAGACTGAGTTCAACTTAAAAGGACATATTGAAAGTCAAAATAACAATGAAGATCGTTCAAACCAAATATCAAAGGTAAAAGTGTATCTGTTATTTTATCAAAACATAGTTTACTAACTTGATCATCATTCGTTAATACTTTGGAGGTATGATTTGCAGCAAGTATGGATTTGTGTGAATATTCAGCAGGTTTGACACAAAGTGGAATTATTCTCAAATCACTACGTGTTAAACCTTCTGAATATTCACACAAATCCATACTTGCTGCAAATCATACCTCCAAAGTATTAACGAATGATGATCAAGTTAGTAAACTTTGTTTTGATAAAATAACAGATATACTTTCACCTTTGTTATATATATGCTGGGATTTTGTAAATTCCGGTTTAATAATACTTTGAGAAAGCTATTAGCATTAAATAGCGAAACGTCAGTAAAAACAATCTCGTTTTCTTTTTTCATTCATTGGGAAATACAAAAACCTCTATTATAATGAATATCATATACCCAATGCCCAAATTTTTTCAAACCGTTAAAAGTGCACAGGCACCTATGATCAAAGACAGCAAATCTTTGCACGCCTTCCACTCTCTATTACCAGGTCTCGCCCACAGCCATAAAGGAGGACGGAGCAGACTACTGAGCATTCCTTCTCCCCTTAGGTCGATAGTCAGCTGGATATTACGTCTAATAAAACCAGAGACGGCGTAAACTGGCATATTCAAAACTAGCCCTCTGTATCCGTGCAGCTATTTCCTCAGAGATCAACTCCTTGGCACTGGCTGATGGTACTTCTCAAATAAGTGAAGCGGTCAATGTGCTCTACTACTTCACTCCCTATTTCTAAACTAGAAGTCAGTGTGGTCTAGTCCTGTAACATCATCTTGCATTTGGCGGGAGCAAATGGCATACTAAAAATCAATCACAGAGATAAAGGTGAAATCGGAATTGTATCTCCAGACATCCTAAAATCAGATTAATTAGAAAGCATGGGTTCATTCGAAGACTCTGTGTTCGACTCGAGCCCACATTACTCAGTGCTGCCATCAGGGCGACATCACTGAGATATCCGAGCATGCAATTGACCTTCCTTAGGAGACTGTATCGGAGTGTCCTTTGATTGGACAGTAAGTAGTAACTAGATTAGACAGAATTCAGTCTGCATCAAAACCAAGGACTAGATATGCACAACACTGGTTACTACCTACTCTTTAATCAAAGTAGACAGAATGATCCTAGTTCTTCAAAACAATGTGGTGGATGTGGGTTAGAAACACCTCACCAAACTCATGTGATAAAGGTTAACACATAACTACATAAGCCAATAATAGCATAAGGCAGAATAAACAAATATATCTAATTTGACCACTTTTACAACGACTTACCTCGGAACAAAGAAATTCTCGCAAACTAGAGCGTAACACTTTCCGTCCATCGCCTAGTCGAGAAAATGGAGTTAAACCTGATCCTTTCAACTGTAACTCCCAACGTTCACCCTTTTGATTGACCACTTCTCCTAAAGAACTAGGAGAAGAAATAATTACGCAAGTTAACAAGTAATTTCATGCGGATATTATAAATGATAAGGTTAATAGTAGGAGACAAGTAGCATTTTTGTGCGTCGGTCGCACAGCGGTTAGGACATGGTCCGCGGTTCCAGTCCCGGCCACAGACGCACTCCTTTACCTCGCTAAGCCAGAAATAATGCTGGTAAAGAGGAAAGGTTGGGCATAAGGCTAGCGACCCCATCCTGTAAAACAAAACACTGCTATAGAAACTTCAAGCCTCTAACTTGAAACCCTATGTTCCACTGGGAACATGAAGGAATAAAAAAAGTTCACAAGTATCCAACACCAAATGTTCTCAAGAAACCTGAGACTCAAGTGTGACTGAATGATTAAATATGTGCATTTCTTCTAAAAAAGTATACTTTGCACAGTAGGCAGTTCGAGAAAGTCTTGTTTTGATTTTTAAAGAATTTCATAAGAATAACTGGAGTTGAACTATCTCAACATTTAACAAAAACAAAGTTACTCTAATTGAAATTGAGATTTTCCCGTCGATTGATTGAAACGAAGGGCTCGGTCTCAGGTTGACATGTCGACTTCTTGTGCAGATGCTTCGACGATGTCTGGGTATTTCATTCGAATTTAATTTGTGAATGGTGACTAGCAGTGGAATCCAAGATGCGCATTTCGTCCTATTTGCGAATCTTCACCTGGATGTACCTGCATTTCCCTGTGAGTGATCATGTTCCCACTATCGGCACTAGGTTCGAGCCTCGGTGGGAACATAATCACTCACTGGGAAATGCGTTTACATCCACCGACTGACGAGTACCAAATGGTACGAAAAGCGCATCCTGGATTTCACTGCTAATCACCACCCACAAATTAAAGTTACTCTGTTTACGAAAATGTATGCAGTAAAAAGTGATTGATGAATAAGGTAAACGGTATAACACGTAGTACTAATTTCACAATAGTTTTAAAGATTCTAGTATTAACTAAACTCCTGTAATGTATTCTGGTATGTAGGCATGTATTTCTCTCCGGATTCAAATCTCTATCCACCTTCTTATAGGGTCATAAGTTCTTAAATATTGCAAATTAAATTAAATCAGGCACAAGTGAAAGTTAAAACTACACATTTGTAAAGGTTTAATGATATAAAAACCCTCGGATATACTATTCTACAAACTTTTAAGCCAAAACCGAAGTTATCTAAAACACATGAATCAAGTTTTTGCTAACGAATAAGATAATTACGAAAAAGCCTAACTGCACTGGGTGTAATTCACGATAGTAATGGGTGCATCAGAATTATTAATGGCTAGAAACATTTAGCCTCTGAACCAAACAAATCTTCGGATAGAGTTAGCTCAGACAGCTGAAAGCGTAAATTCACTTAATCCAATATATGAGGTCGAAACTAAACCAGTTGGACGGTTACATGATGTTTAAATGACCGCTATTTAATTAAAAAGCACAACTGGTTAGTGTAAGCTATCTTCAATCACTTATGTCACCAAGTTGAAGTAAGTCTGACTTAAATTAGACGGATGTGTAGCCAAAACGAAGATCTACCGTGATATATAGTCATATACAGCAATTGTTAACGTTATATCTAATATAGGCCAACAAGCGAATGGGCTCATGATGCCTCAAGAACTGTAAGCAATCACCCTAGTAAAAGTCAACCAGTTATCAGCAATAGTTGCAGACTTCTGGTGATATGGCTCGAAATCGTTCTCAGTGGTACATATGCATTTACTCTCTGTGATCTGAAACTCTACTGTTTTTTCTATGTTACTACTCATTCTACCCCCATATTTCTGTGTATTATCGTTCTTCCGAGTATTTTTTTTCTCTTTTGTCTTCCTTTGTGTGCTTTACGGAGTGTGGCAACTCGAACCGCTGCACTTCTATGCAAAGTTCTATGTTGAAACCGGTCAGTCAGTGAATCGGCCTCGTAAAAGTCAACCCGTTAAATATCCATAACTGGTGGAGTACTGTATGTGATTCACAACAATGCAGATGTATGTAGAATGTCTTTTTAGTAGTGTATGTCACTTATCCCAACATCCCTTTTAATCTTTTATCTTACAGCTTCTTACCACTACTGATATGACACTAGGAAACTTTATTCGTTAGAAAATTTTGACTGGTCCCAAGGTTATTTTATTTTTTTTAATTCCTTCACGTTCCCAGTGGAACGTAGGGCCTCAAGCTAGTGGCTTGAAGTTTCTATAGCAGTGTTTATTTTACAGGATGGGGTTGCTATCCTCATGCCCAACCTTTCCTCTTTACCTGCATTATTTCTGGCTTAGCGAGGTAAAGAAGTGCGTCTGTGGCCTGGGATCGAACCCCGGACCATGTGCATGGTTGGAGAGAGTCCTAACCGCTATTCCACCGATGCACATCTTTTGTTTATATGACTAAAAACATTTTCCACGTCTAACATTCCAGAATCAAAATCATTTTTGGAAAATTAAATACTAATTATTACATATATGCAGACAGGTTATGAAAATAACCAACCAACCAACCAACACAAACAACAATCGACTTGTTACCAGGGAATAATCTTATGGACTTAGAATATGCAGATGACATAGTCCTGTTAGGGGAGGATGCTGACAAAATCCAGCAGAGTCTTCTGAACACCTTGAGCAGCAATCTTCGTATGTTTGGCATGCGATTCGCCCCTACTAAATGTAAGATGCTGCTACAGGACTGGACCACGTCAACCCCTAACTTAGTGATAGGGAGTGAAGTGATTGAACATGTTGACCACTTCACCTATTTGGGAAGTTGTATTAGCACCAACGGACTGATTGGCGATGAAATCTCACCACGGATCCGAAAAGCTCGAGCTGCTTTCGCTGACTTACACCATCTCTGGCGTAGGCGTGACATCCGGTCATCAACCAAGGGACGTGTGTACTGCTCATCAGTTCGCTCCGTCCTTCTCTATGGCTCTGAAACATGGCCAATACGCGTTGAAGACATGAAAAGTTTGACTGCTTTCGATCATAGATGTCTGCGATCTCTGTCTCACGTTAGGTGGTTTCACAAGGTAAGTAATGTTGACGTTAGGCGTAGAGTGTTGGGCAAAGAGGGAAAATCAATCGACGAGGCTATAAAGTTACATAGACTAAGATGGCTAGGTCACGTGGTGCGCATGCCTAACCACCGCCTTCCCCGACGGGCATTGCTAGCTGATATGGGTTCAGGTTGGAAAAGAGCCAGTGGTGGCCAAACAAAAACATGGCCTCATCAATCCATGAAATCCTTGACAGTTAAACTGAGTCAGGTAGGGAGATGCAGACTCCCGGATTGGGGCCCTCGGGACTCTAGGAATCAATGGCTGGAGACAATAGGTGACATGGCTCAAAATCGTTGTCAATGGCCAGCGCAGATGTATTCTGTCTCTGTAATCTTTCATATTCCTTTCTACCATTACCCATTCTGTTTCACTCTTATACTTGTCAGACTGTATTGATTCTCTTCACTCATCTTCTTGTCTACCTCTGTGTGCTATTTGGAAGGTGGCAACTCGAACTGCTGCACTTCGGTGGCAAGTTCTATGTTGAATCCAGACAGACAAACAACAACATCCAGCGCCAATCACCATCAACGGGAAGGATTTGAAAGAGGTTACTTCCTTCATTCACTTATCTAGGGAGCATTGTCTCAACTACAGGCAGTCAGAACGGACGAGGATGTCAAATCGATAATCGGGAAGGTCAGCGAGAAATACACACATTCATCAACCTGAAACCAATCTGGAAATCTTCGTCACTCAGCCAGCATCAACAACAAAATTCAGTCGTATTTTCAATACACAAACGTCAAGTCAGTCAGCTCTTCTATACGGATCAGAAACTTGGCGAGCAGGTCACAAAGAATATTTCCAACAGGCTATTGCAGACCAGACCTTTATCAATAACAACTGTCTTGGCTAGATCTATATTGAAGATCAGATGGCCGGACCGGAAAGAATCACCAACAAGAAACTATGGGAACAAACAAACAAGAGAAGAACCAACCAATCGCCCAACAAATATGCAGGAGAAAATGGATGGAGATGCATTGGACACTCACTAGCAGAGGAGGCCGCTGGTTGACATCGCGCGCGCGTTAGGCCATCGCTCGAGTCGAACCAGGCCGAAAGGGAAGCGTCGAATGGAAGGTCGTCTAAGGGTGACATGGAGGAGATCGTGTGAATAGGAGCTGAAACAGTATGGACTGACATGGATGCAGGTGAAAAGTACAGTAGAAAACAGAAGTCTGTCTGTCTGTCTGTTTTCGACATAGAACTTTGCACAAATGTGCGCCAGTTCAAGTCGCCACACTCCGTGTAGCACGCGAAGCAAGAGAAGAAAGTACAAGAAAAGCATAATAGAAACAGTAAGCAGAGGTGTGAGACAAAGGAGTAATAAAGAAAAACAAAACAGTTTCATTGGAGATCATAAGTCACAGGGAGTGGATGCATCTGCGCCACTGAGAACGATTTTGAGCCATGTCACCAATTGTTTCCAACCATAGATTTTTACCGTCCCGAGGACCCCAGCCTGGAAGTCTACACCTTCCTACGTGGCTTAGACCAACTGTTGTGGATTTCATTGACTGGTGCCAAGTTTTTGTTTGACCGCCGCTAGCTTTTTTCCAGCCTGACCCTATATCCGCTAACATTGCTCGTCGAGGGAGGCGATGGCTTGGCATACGTAACACATGTCCTAACCATCTCAGTCTTTGTAACTTCACGACTTCGTCGATTGATTTCCCCTGTTTACCTAGAACTCTACGCCTAACCTCAATGTTGCTCACCTCATTATGCCACTTTAGACGGGAGATACAACGCAAACACCTATGATCAAAGACAGCTACCCTGCTTTTTCATGCCTTCCACTCTCAGTGGCCAGGTCTCGCTCACAGCCATAAAGGAGGACGGAGTGGACTGATGAGCAGTACACCCGCCCTTTGGTCGATAGTCGAACATCTCGTCTACGCCAGAGTCGGCGTAAACTGGCAAATGCGAAACGAGCCCCTTGTATTCGTGCTGAGATTTCGTCAGAGATCAGCCCGTTGGCACTGGCTGATGGTACTTCCCAAATAAGTGAAGCGGTCAACGTGCTCTACCACTTCACTTCCTATTTTCAAACCAGGCGTCGATGTAGTCCAGTCTTGTATCATCATGTTGCATTTGGTGGGAGCGAATCGCAAGCCAAACATTCGTAGATTGCGGCTCAAGGTGTTTAGAAGGATCTGCATTTCGAGAAGACAGAAGTGGCAAGTGGAGACGTGCAGTTGAAGCACTATGTTCCACCAGGAACCCAAGGGAACAGTAATATTAATAATAATAATAACAATATATGCAGACAGAACTAATGGTACCATGGTCGTGTATTACCACTTTTGTAGTAACTTTGTTCAACATTGTAGTATCGCTAAATAACACTTTAATGAGCTAGTCAAATTGTTTCAGATGTAGAAGATTACATAAATCCTTTTTCAGTTACTTTTTAGTAAAGTTAGGCTCGAAAGCCCAAGGAGGAGAAAAAAGATACACTTAATGTGCATTAAAAGCTTTTAAAAAAAGCCATCTTACATACATCGCAGCACCATCGCCAAGTTGACCAGCAAAACTTCCAAATTGATATCCACAATAACAATGAGATGAAGGATCACTACCAGGCCATAGTTTGTTACCCGATAAATATTCAACTAATGAATTTCTTTCTTCAGATTTATTATTTTCTAAGTCTAAAAGATTCAGTACATCAGGCGATAAAACAACTAAGCGGGGATTATCCACCCCTGTTGGATTAACGCGTGCAAAACAAGCATTTGGTACAGAACGGATAGTATTTGGACCATTATCAACTGGTAGACACTTCAACTGGATATTATCAAATCGTGGATACTTGATTGATTGGGAAATATCACTAGATGATGAACAATTGCGAGATGACATACTTTTATTATTCATATACGAGGCAAGACCGAAGTGCAGTTTTTGAAGACAATAGCATGTTTTATAACATCTCACCAACTTCTGAAAAAAATAAAAACAAGTTTGTACAACAAACGTTTTGTGTTTTGCTTACACAATGTAAAAAAAGAACAATGGTAACGAAGTGAAACTAGCAGAGATAAAATTGATTAAATTTTAATCATGCGTTCAGATATTTGAAAAAAAAACTTGAATCTGCGATTGTGCAGTATGTGAACCGAGTTGTGGACATATAACTCATAGACGAAAAACCAATACAAAGAGGAAGAGGGGAGAGCATGAACTTATTCCCTGATGACTGTATACAACAAGCAAATCATTGGAGAACGATACTTATTTAGTTTAAAACTTGAAATATTTACGTGCCAATGGTAGTAGTCTATACCTGCATCGACATTCAGCAGTAACATTCACTTTTTTAGTTAACATGATTAGTTCAAGGAACCTGCTTAACCACTTTCTCTACTCAACATGCCATGATAAGTCCAGCTTCTAGTAAACACTTTCTAGTTAGTTAGGCACATCGGATTAACGAAAACATGCCCAAAATATGTACCTTGTGTTGGACAATCAGATTTTTTCCTCGCTTTATCTCCTTAAATGAATTCATTCTAAGGTTATGAGAATACACTTGAGTTAGATAGTTGTATTCATACGCAACCTTTTTTCCAAACTTCTAATCAGGAAAAAAGGAATTAGTGCTAACTCATAAAGGCTAAACACATATGGAACTCCATTCTTTAAACTGCCGTTGCCAAATATTTCGGACCAGATTGCCGAACGAAACGTTGGAATTACTCATTTCAATCTCGCTGAGTTCAATAGCCAAGAAGAAACCATATTGCTGTTGAGTAATGGTTCTCACACCGAGTCATAACCTCTTGGAACCGACCCCAGAAGAAGTTTTGTCCGCAGTCGCAACTAATTCATACAAGAAAGGTTTGGACAACTACAGAAAATCATTAGGAAACGGTTAACATAGGTTCCAAGCCTTCTATCCTAAACCAATAAATCTGGACCCGGATGCCAGTATTTCTGTAGTGTACACGCACAAATACATCGATATATAAACCAACCAATATGTTCCAGTTTTTTATAAAAGTTGAAGTGCGAAGTCTTTTCGGCTACGAAAGCCCAGTAATAGATACTCAAATACAGCACCATTGCTAAAAATGTAATAAAACAGAACAGATAATAATGTATATCAAGCACGCTGGGATAAGACGTGAAAAGCAGAACACAAACTCGGGTCAAAACACTTTATAATTACCAACCACCTTAACCGAAGTCGAAAGTATGTACAACAGAAGGGTTAGGTAGTAAATGTTCAGCGACCACCGGGTTTTGAACTGACGCCTGTACGTCGGTGGCACAGTGGTTAGGACTCGCCGATCATGCACATATGTGCATATGGTTCGGAGTTCGATCCCCTGCCGACGCACACCTGATATCCATGGTCGGCCTGCAAAATTCGGGCTACCGATATCACATGCGGAAAATTCTATACCTGTACCATAAATACGGTCTGGAATCAAGCTGTAATCAAAATAAATAAATAAAATTCGACTCTAGAGTAGCGTCAGCATCGAATTTACGCAGTAGTATCCAATATTCAATATCATTCTTACGATCTAGTGCAAATCAAATTGACCTCTTTCTGCTCGCTTGTTGGCTTAAACGTTCTTGGTATTCAGTAAACACTAGTGAGCCTCGTCTTACTGATCGACTGACGTAGCTCTGGTTGACTCCATGAATAGTGGTGCTGGGACTGATTAGATTTCAGATTACAGATTTACTGGTTGAGGATAGGAGACTTGGAGCCTATGTTAATCCTTTTCTAGTAAATTTCTGTGGTTGTCCAAACCCTTCTTGAACGAATCAGTTGAGGTTGCTTACACCACTTCTTCTGGGAGTCGGTTCCAAGAGTTTATAACTCGATGTGAAAACCAGTACTCAACAGCAATATGATTTCTTCTTGGCTTTTGAACTCTCCTGCTAAGTCCTCTAAGGTGTTCCGACCTGATGGGGGGGAAAAGAGAGAATAGGTCAGGTCCATAGTCATTATTTAAAATCTTAAACATTGTGATTAAATCTCCTCTTTGTCTACGGTATGAAAGAGGGAAGAAATTTAAACTGTCTAGTCTTTCCTCGTATGATAAGTTAGCTATGCCGTGAACCATATGTGTTGTCTTCCTTTGAACACTTTCTCAGATGTGTAAGTCCTCTTTTAGACAAGGACTGGCGGTCTCGATGCAGTTTCCAGTCTTGACCTCACCAGAGATGTATATAAGTAGGTGAACATATCTCTGGTGATTCTAGTAAAGTCTCTGCGAATTACCCATAAGGGCCTGAAACTACGTGCAGCCACCGCGCGACAGTGTGCTGTAGTTTTTAAGTCGTGGCTAACTATGAAATCTAAGTCCAAGTGAGTCTGAACTGATGGAAGTGTTATTCCTTCTAGTTCGTAGAAGCTCGTGATTGCTTGCCCAATGTGCATGGTTGCACATTTTGCCACATTTATCGGTAGCAACCATTCTGTAGACCACTCTGACAACTTGTCGAGGTCCTCTTGCAACGTGGACGTATCACTGTTGCCCTTCAGCTCTCTCCAAATTTTTAAGTCATCTGCGTATAGGACCATAGGGGAGTCGGTGAACAGAGATAACTCAATGATATCCTAAATAAATAGGAGAGGACCGAGTACCGTGCCTTGTGGCAATGCTACCTACTGCTGTCTGAGAGGAGAGTTTCGAGTTGATCCTAACCCTCTGCCTCGTATCTATGAGGAATTCCCTGAGCCAGTTTACTAAGCTTCCTTTGACACCAAGACTTTTCAACTTCATGAGTAGTCCTTTGTGAGGCACTTCATCAAGGCTTTACTGAAGTCTATGAAGACGACGTCAACGGGTCTTCTATTGCCCTTTGATATGACACAGCTTTCTCCTGCAGTGAGGAGATTTGACAGGCATGAGAGGTCCCTCTAGAAGCCATGCTGTCCTCTAGATAACAAGCTGCTGTTTTCCAGATATAAAAATAATATAAATTTATTCTCATAGTACAGTACATGAGGGACGCCAGTTTACAGGCATCATCAAATTGTCACAGAAATAGGACCATATTATTCGGTCACAATTTACAGTCGACAGCAAAATATGTTTTACATGTACACTGGAGATTATACATACACTTGATAAATGTTAATCCCATTAGTATAAAACATCCTTTTCACTTATGTACAATTATTTCTGTGCACAGTTGGAAAAATCTGCTAGATTGTCAGCGAGTGCAACACATCAGGAAATACAGAAGTGTTGTCTTCGCACTAACAAAAAGAACCAGGTCTTTGGTGGATGGGTTATAAGTGCCTAGGGAAAAAAATAAAGCTTGAAGTCAATTTTCGTACATAATTTTGTTGTGTACAGAATCCTTGAATTATAGTTCATTGGTGTGTTATTTTGAAATCAGTGAAATGTTTATCCCATTTGATCTGCAATGTCATTGTTAGGAGTAAAATACATAAGCTTTAGACGCACTAATTAATGGATTTCTACTGCTTGTGGGTATTTTTCCGCGTGAGGAAGGTTTATGAATTTCAGTTGTTCCGACATGAGTTGTGAATATTAACTGCTCAGCAACATTGTGGATATAAGTTCATCACATTATCTTAGGAAAGATGGGTTGTAGTTGGTGAGCGTACATCTGTCCATGTGATGTTGTGGTGAGTTATACCTTTCCCATGTTATCGGTTTACGTTCATTTTATTCCACTTATTGTGTTGGGTAGAAGTTTTGCAAACGAAATATTTTGTCTGTTTGAGGGTCGTTAGTGTTTTTTCTAAAATTATAAATATAGGCAAAAAACAACAGGTGTAGTATTTAAGCTTATACCATGATGCTTTTCTTGATGATTCTTTCCATTGTCTTGATTAAAGTACTGGTCAGATTGATAGGCCTGTAATTTGAAGGGCTTTGTCTTGATCCTCCTTTGTGGATACTATGGCGTCTTTCCAGTCACGTGGTAACACTCCATTATGAGAGATAGCTTGAAGATGGTGGTCAAAGGGCCAGCTATGTGAGCTGATAGTTCCTTGAGAAGCCTTGGGTGAACATATATGCGTCGGTGGCATAGTGGTTAGGACTCTCGCCGACCATGCACATGGTCCGAGGTTCGAGCCCACGCCGACGCACACCTGATATCTATGGTCGGCCTGCGAATTTTGGGCTACCGATATCCACGCTGAAAATTCCACACTTGTACCAAAAATACAGTGTGTGGAATCAAGCTGCAATCAAAAATAAATGAAAAAATAAAAATAAAATTGAATTCCCTGCATCTAGTTTCATTAAGCAGTTGATTACGGTGCCTTGGTCGATGTCAACGGAATCTACCCTGTATTCATTTAATGCGGCCAGAGCTGATCCTATTAGCAGTAATGACTCCTGAGTGAAGACTTGGGAGAAGTAGTTTGCCATTGCTTCTGCTTTTTCTTGATCTTCTTCGATTGTATCATTGTCAATGATCAGGTTTGGGACACCATTGGATGTTTTATTCCCGAAATTCATGTACGAGAAAATTTTCTTAGGTTGTGCCTTTGAGCCAGGTGTGCCTCGAACTTCATCCTTGATTGGCGGATTTCTGCAATAGCTTTATTTCTAGCAGTGCTATTTAATTCCCTGGTCTCAGAAGTATCAAGTGTGGCAAACAGGTTCCACCATTTGTGTTTACGTCTGAGTGACTTATGAATCTCTTGGTTTATCCAAGTGGGCAATGTTTCCGACCCTTTAGGACAGACCAAGGGATGAATGGTTCAGTTCCATGCGGTTCTACTTGGGACTCTGGGTTGATGTACCAGTTTACTGAGTTGGCTGCTGCGAAGATCGACGTTTGGTCGATCTGGGGTTTTGGCCCTTGCTGCCGTTGCTGTGAACTTGAAAGTGAGCACAGCATGGTAACTTCCTCCTAAAGGAGGAAGATGT